CCACCTTTTCCAAAAAACATCAACAAGAACCTGCAGCTAGGCCTGGCCTAACCATTTACTGAAATTACAGTCACTACCTCCAATCTCTCACACTCACCCCACACATTGTACAGCACTCTAGGTCCTCATTATTTTGCTTTTTTCCCCTCCATAGCATTTAATTTATGTATTAGTTTGCTGTCTCAAGACAGACTACTTTTTTTTATTGATTTCAGAGAGGAAGGGAGAGGGAGAGAGAGAAAGACATATCAATAATGAGAGAGAACCATTGATTGGCTGCCTCCTGCACACCCCCATCAGGGGATCGAGCCCACAACCCGGGCATGTGCCCTGACCAGGAATCAAACTATGACCTTGTGGCTCACAGTTCTATGCTCAACTACGGAGCCACACTGGCCGGGCAAGACAGACTACTTTTGTTTGTTTTTTGTGTTTTGTTGTTGATGAATCCCATGCATGTAGACACAGTTTTTGGCATATCACTGGAGTTCAATATACATTTATTTTGTTGAGTTGGTGAGAAATAATGAACACTTATTAGAAGTATACTGTGCACTGTTGTAAGCTCTTCACATGCATTAATTAATCCTCAGTGCTACCCCATAAAGTAGGCTACTATAATTATCTCCTTTTACAGGCGAGGAACCTGAAGCGCAGTTAAGTAACCTGCCCCAGGTGACATGGCTGGCAAATGATAGAGCTGGGGTAGAAACCCAGACAGTCCGATTCCAGAGTCTTGCTCATAATCACTGCCCCTCTCACAGAACAAAGGATCAGCTAGTCTAAACTGCAGGATTGGGTTGAAATAAAATGAGAGGAAGAGATATGGTGTCATAGGGAACTAAACTGGCAGATCATGTCAGCGAAGAGCTACTGCTGACATCTCCCCTAAACTTGTGGCTCAGTGGTGAGAGGACATGAAATGAAAATGGCTCTTAGTGAACTTTCACATCGCAGAAGATTTAGGTTGTTTTATACTCCTGAAAGGGGCAGTACCAGGACCAAGAAATAAAATTATACATTGACAGACTTAGCACAATCTGAGGCATTTTCAGGAGTTCTGTCCAAGCCCTGGCTGGTGTGGATCAGTGGATAGAGTGTCAGCCACACACCAAAAAGTCTTGAGTTTGATTCCTGGTCAAGGGCAGGTACCTGAGTTGCAGGTTCAAACCCTGGCCCAGTGGAGCCTCATGCGGGAGGCAATAAATCGATGTGTCTCTCTCACATGTTTTTCTGCTCCCTCCCTCCCTTTCACTCCCTCTATAAATATGTGGAAAAAATATCCTTAGGCAAAAATTAACATTAAAAAAAAAAAAAAAGGAGTTCTGCCAGGCCAGTGTGGCTCAGTGTTTGAGCATCAACCTATGAATCAGGAGGTCATGATTCAATTTCTGACCAGGGCACATGCCTAAATTGTGGGCTTGATCCCCATTATGGGGTGTGCAGGAGGCAGCCAATCACTGATTCTCTCTAATCATTGATGTTTCTATCCCTCTCCCTTTCCCTTCTTCCCTGAAATCAATAAAAAAATATATATTTTTTAAAAAGAGTTCTATCCAAAATTGAAATCTTTCATCTCAAAAAGGATCCTAACACGAAAGGAATTTGTAAAGGGGACTCATACCTGATGGATAGTTGGACACGATCACTTTTTAAGGACCTTCTCCTACACTCGGATATTCGCTATATATTTAAGTTTTAAGTAAATAAAAGGACTTACAAAACAGTAGCGCTATACCCAGCAGGATTGCCAGGATCGCCCACTTGCCGAGTGACACCCCCACACTCCTTGCAGCGGCCAGGCACTGGCTTGGGTGAGTGCAATCGCACAGGTTCACTCGCAGGGTTTTCGTGGCCGACTGCCCTGCTCTGTCTTTCACAGTCACGGGAATATAGTATTCCTTAACCTCCGCATTCTTCCGATAGGAAAGACGGGCAGCTGTATCTGCAATAGAAGAATCAGAATTTCACGAACATGGCCTCCTCCCTTGGCATTTGTCTCACCGCACTTGTTTGTACGTAACTATCTGCCACTTAAATACAAATAAAGACAGATGCCTCTCTCCAGCTTTGCCAGGCACTAACCTTACCGCAGATGTGTTGCTCACGGTAACTTTTTAGAGAGAAGCTTAAGGAAAGAATTTGGCATCAGAGTGACCCAATAGCATTTCAACATTTAATAGTTCCCTACTTATTCTCTTTTTTACAAACTAATAATGCTAGATTGGCTTTTTAAAAATTATCTTTGCTGTTAAAAGTATTACAGTAGTCCCCTTTTCCCCCCATTGAGTCCCTCCACCTTATACCAGACCCCCTCTCCTCCCTCCCGGTTTTCAACTCACTATTGTCAGTGTCCATGGGTTATGCATATGCATACAAGTTATTTGGCTAATCTCTTCCCACTCCCCCTCATCCACCCTTCCCTCTTGACATTTAACATACACTTCAAGCGTTTTTCTGTAGTAGCAGTAAATGACACTCATAAAAAATTAACACATACAGTCACAAACAAGGGATGTTTTAACTTCACATCCTCTTATCCATGTACCTTCTCGTACCTACCTGTCCATTATAAGGAAATTTTTAAAAACACAGTAGACCCTTTGTGGTTAATGCCTCGCCTCTGGAAGTAATCTCAATACCAGAAACTAATCAATATCAGAAAAACAGCTCTCTCTATATCACAACAGTACATGTGTATCAACTGTGATATTACCCCCAACAGTCTCCATACCTTATTCTGATGACCTGATCACGCCCTGACCCAAAGCTCTCCACATTTCCAACTGCAATTACAACCTTCTGGAGCTTTTGCAATGCACTAAATGGACTGACAGCATAATACACACCTGGGAGCCGCCCGTGATTTTTAAGCTGCGCTTAAACGCACTGTTATAACTGGGAGGACGGCACCATGTTTGGCTGCACCTCATAACCAGCTTCCGGAGGAACGTGAGGCATCCCTCGGGTTCCTTCTGCCCTTCCGAAGCATCCTGTGCCTGAGGTAAGACCCCTCAAGGCCGCACCTGAGCCCTCGTCCTGCTCCCTCACCCACCAGCGCAGCAGCCTCTGACTCTCCTTGTCACTCACTCTGCCCTCTTCAAATTGCCTCCTAAGTGTCACCACGTCACCTTTTTACGGCATAAATCTGGACACAGTGTTGCCTTTACACACCCCCAATGCATACCTGTGGTCGCCTACTATACGAAGGCCATTCTCCTTGGCCGGGTCCAGCAGGCTCCTCACTTCCAGATTCCATCCTTCCTCCCGCCCGTTCTCCCAGCATTCCAACTAAAACTTTCTAAACGCCAACAACACTGATTTCCTTACTGCCCCAGGACTTTCCTCCTTTCATGCCTATATATTAATGAATTAGTGATTCAACAAACATTTATTAAGCGGTTAGAGTCTACTAAGCACTGGGCCAGGTACTGGAAATACAAAAATAGACTGCAATGTCTTGAGAAACTCGTGTATACGTTGGAGGAGAAATGTAAACGATGACAGTACCACATGAAAGGCACTATAACAAAGGTAGCAGTGTCCCTGCTTCTACTCCCAGAAAGACTTCTTAGACGTGCGGAATCATGTCTTCCTTGCTAATCTCTATACACACCCCAGGGTCAGCAATAGTGCCTGGGAGATAGTAGGTGCTCTATGACGGAACAGCATACAGAAAAGTCCAATTACATGAGAGAACATGACATAGCAACAAAGAAGCAGTGAGTCATGGCTGAAGTACAGGCCACACTCCTCAGAATCCAGTCACAGACCCTGTCAGAGGCTCCAGCACCAGGCCTCTGTCCATATCCCACCCATCCCCTTCCCAACTACCT